ATGATAGCAGTATGCCGGTATTTGAGGGGCTGTCACAAAGAAGAGGGGGTCAACCTATTTTTCAAAGCATCTGAAGGCAAGACAAGAAACAATGGATGGAAAATAATCAAGGAGAGAAGCAGCCTGGAATTAAGGAGAAACTTCCTAACAGCGAGGAAAATTAATCAGTGGAATAGCTTGCCTCCAGAAGTTGTGGGTGCTTCATCACTGGAGGTTTTTAAGAAGAGACTGGACAGCCACTTATCTCAAATTGTATAGGGTTTCCTACTTGAGCACGGGATTGGATTATAAGCTGGCACTGGGCATTCTTATACAGTTCCAGCTCCAAAGTCCCTTCCAATTCTGTTCTATTCTAAAAGTTAGCAGTGAATTCCTACATTAGCACATTTTATTACAGAATCAAAATGAGCTCTAAGTGAGCTTTACAACTAGAAGGAAGGTCTTCGTTTCATTTGCTGCATAGAATCTTTTTTTTTTTTTTACTATTTTTTCTTAAGCTTCTATTATATTGCAAGGAGGGACCAGCAGAACAGAGATATTTTAAATTTATTCCTAATTACAAACGTGGCAGATTTAGTGGTTCCATCTGTCTGTGCCCCTGGAAGTTTCAGCTAAAATTATTAAAGGCAGAAAAATGACTAAATGACTACTTTTTAACACTTCTCAACATGCCCATCCGTAATACATTTTAAGATAGCGGCTGAATTACCTTGTTAAAAACTGCATGATATCTAGCTGAATCATTTCAAACATGAGTTAGAGAATTATAGGCAGAAGCATGGGAAAAGATAATAAGGTTATAACGCATGCTAAAGTCACACATAAGACATACTACAGGTGGAACATAGGTTGAGGACATAAGAACTAAAGCCCTGTTGGATCAGACCCATAACCTATCTAATCCATCAATCTGTTCTTAGAGGGATTAATTGTGTGCGTCTTATTCATACATGTGTGTTATGCATATGACTGTATTTGGCAAAGAGACAGTTTGGTGTAATGGTTAAGGTATCACCTAGCAACTGGGAAACTGTGTATTCTAGTCTCATCTCAGGCCCAAAGTCTCATCTCCAGCCCAAAGCCAGCAGGGTGAGCTTCAGCCAGTACTTTCTCTTACCCCTAAGACCCAGGCAAACCCCTTCCAAAAAACCTGGCCAAAAAAACTGCAGAGACTTATCCTGGCAGTCTCCAAGAATCAGCTACAAATGAGAGGAAGAGGGGAAAAACACACACACACACAATTGGCAAGAACTTCGTCATCAAATTTCAGGTGTCTGCTGCCGTACCATGATGCAGCTCTGCTTAGTTAGTTAGAACATAGCATATTAGAATTGGAGAGGTCCTTGGAGGTCTTCTAGTCCAACACTTCACTCAAGGAGAAGACCCTATACCATTTCAGACAGGTGGCTCTCCAGTTTTTTCCAGTGATGGAGCACCCATAAGTTCTGAAGGCAAGCCGTTCCACGGGTTAATCGTTCTCACTGTCAGGACATTTGTACATAGTTCTAGGTTGCTTCTCTCTTTGATTAGTTTTGAACTGTTGAACTTCCGTAAGCCACCATTGAGTGCCAACTCACACACAGCCCTTCCCATCCACCGTCTTCCTCTTCCTCCACTCTTTCTATCAATCATGCATTTTCTCTTCAGCATTCTCATGGCCCATAACAAGAACACGAGCTCAAGAAAGTTTGATACCACCTTCTCATTTATCCATACAATTTTTCCTTTGGAAGTGAAGTCAGGAAGAAGAAAATAGTAAAGCAATATCTGGTCCAAGAGTTTAACAAAAGCTGAGTCCTGTGTTTCTGCTTACACACATTCACTCTCTCTCTCTCTCTCTCTCTCTCTCTCTCTCTCTCTCTCTCTCTCTCTCTCTCTCTCTCTCTCTCTCTCTCTCTCTCTCTCACACACACACACACACACACACACACATACACACACACACACACACACACAGAGAGAGAGAGAGAGAGAGAATATAAGTTGTGTCTTGATGTGAAGACTTTTATAGTGGCATGTGTCACTTTGTGGTGAGCTTCCCATCTTGTGTTTTTGGTATCCGATTCATTTTTAGCCACTTTGATTCGATGTTGGGTTCCAGCAGATAAAATTGGATGTGCCAAGTAAGTCTGTCTGAAGCAATGTGTTCTCTATTGTGTTCTGACAGCAAGAGTTTGCTGTTCTCCCAGGATACCTAGCCTCAAGGCAGCATAATCAACAGAAGTGTCAAGAGAATTTTGGTGCCCTGGAGACATTTGTTTTCCTTGCACCCTCAATTTCCAAAATGTTTTTTTTTTAATGATTGAGAGGAGCCAGGCATAAGACTACAGATTTGTGAAACTTATACCAACCACTTGTTTTGTAGACCCCCTGACATTTATGATGCATTTCTTTCTGCCTAAAATATTTATTTGACCATATGTGTAGGAGAGCTGCTTCAGTGCACTTCTGTATACCTCACTCAGTGAGCACCCAAGAGCTATGTTTGCCTTATCTTTTTCATAGTATATTCTCCTCTAAAGCAGCCTAAGAAATGTTTTTTTCCCACCTTGAAGTCCAAATCCCTGCTTCTATTTCTTGAAAGTAGTAACTTTGGATAATATAAATGACAGGCATTGAGAGGAAAAAGAATCTGATTCAGGAAGAAAACACGATCAACCCTTTTACCCATATTCAGTAGGATAAAACCCAGTTTTGATTCAGGCTCCTTCATTTTCTTGGAGATTTTTTTTTTTTTTTACTGCATTTTCTTGAGAAGAGACATGTGTTGTTTATAAGCATCTTGAAAATCTTGACTTCGAAACTTCTATCACAGAAATCACACAATGAAAGAAATTCCTCTATTTTTAATCTTACTTTTCAAGATGCTTAAATCTGTTGTTACACAGTTTTGAGGGGTAAGGAGAAAATATGGAAGCAAAGATTTCCAGCCCTTTGATCTTTTTAAAAATATACTTCTAATGTCTGTTTTTCTTTAAATTGCTTCCTACTTAGGCAGAAAGCACAATGGAATGCCCAAAGGAGCTTATCTTGTTACCAGTTTATATCGTTTCCATTTACATGTTGTATTTGCATTTTCCCTTAGTTGTTTGTTTTGTGTTATGGGCTGCTACAAGGGTAGAACGTTTGACAGTGCTGAACAAATGTAGCTACAACTGGACACAATCATGATTTGCAACTTTCTTTGCCAGCTTCCCACAAGCAAAGTCATTGGGGAAGCCAGAGGAAGCCACCATCACGTGAGAGTCTCACTTAAGGACCTAAATTCCTCATTTAATGACAGCAACCGGGACTGCTGGGAATGCTGTCATTAAACAGCATAATCATGTCTTTTTTCAACTTACAACATCATCACTTCACAATGGAATTTTCCGGTCCCAAGTGGTGTGGCAAAACCCTTCAAACTTTTGACGGAGGTGGATTCATTGAAGCATGTTATGCAAACTGAACTCAAATTGACCAATTCCTTATCCACCAGTCAACATCCAGTGACTTCATGGAAGAGATTAAGTCTATCACCCATTTCGTAATATATTTAAGGAGCTGCAGTTGTGTGTTTTGTCAGTACTAGTCTTGAATATAAGGTGTTCTGAGAATATTTTAAAAAATGGCAAATGGTTGAGAGAAAAGGAGGATGAATACTCAGAGACTTGGTTCTGGTAGCTTAATTAAGAGTGGATAAAGGGACTAATACTTCTGATGCCATTTGTTGCCCAACAGATGTTCAAGTCTCTTTTCAATGTCTACCAGTAATTTATTTCCTCAAGAGATAAGCTGCCCAATTTATTACTAAACTGATAAATTGTTCATTTCCATTTGCTCTGAGCCTAGGGATGAAGCAAAAGTGTTACTCATCACTTGAATGTCCCGGACAAACAAACTGCTAAGCAAATTTGAGGAAACAGTACATTTATATCAAATATGAATCTATTCACCCTGCCTGTGTTGCAGTTATGCTTAATTCATACTGGGCTTTTAGCTAAGGTTGGCTTTCCTTACATGATGAGGGTGCATTATTATAATTGTTATAATAAAATTTCATCCTCAATTTGTTGTGTATCTTGTTTAATATCACTCATTGGAGGGATGTGTAAGACTAGGACTGTTTACTACTTCTAAGTTGAAAATTGTATCTCTTTCTGTTGGCCATGTGTCTAGGGAATTCTCTGTATGTCGGAATCATTCCTGGGAGGGTTGGTAAATTTCCTCCACTTGAAAAAAATAATGTCTTTCTTTCTTTCTTTCTTTCTTTCTTTCTTTCTTTCTTTCTTTCTTTCTTTCTTTCTTTTTTTCTTTCTTTCTTTCTTTCTTTCTTTCTTCCTTCCTTTGTTCCTTCCTTCCTCTTTCTTTCTTTCTTTCTCTTTCTTTCTCTTCCTTCCTTCTTTCTTTCTTCCTCCTTTCTTTCTTTCTTTCTTTCTTCCTTCCTTCCCTCCTTCCTTTGTTCCGTCCTTCCTTCCTCTTTCTTTCTTTCTTTCTCTTTCTTTCTTTCTCTTCCTTCCTCCTTCCTTCCTTCTTTCTTTCTCTTCCTTCCTCTTTCCTTCTTTCTTCCTTCCTTCCTTCCTTCCTCTTTCTTTCTTTCTTTCTTTCTTTCTTTCCCTTCCTTCCTTCTTTCCTTCTTTCTTTCTTTCTTTCTTTCTTTCTTTCTTTCTTTCTTTCTTTTTTTCTCAGAGCATCTGGATAGAGAAGCTATTTTAAATAGTAACACTTTCCGTAGCACTTAACTGTTGCCTGCTCTATCCAGGGGAGAATTCGGTGGAACTTTTCCAAAGCTTTCATCACCCTATCTCCTCCGATCAGGAAAGCAATTTATTGCTGACTGCAATACCTCTTTAATTCCTCCCGGCAGTTGAGTTCTGACATTTCTGCCATCTAATATCCTAATAATTTGTTTAGATATTCCTTTGATGCCAACCTCAGTCTGCTTGAAAACCTCTTGACACTGCAGTATCCATGTTTTAAAATCTTGACACGGTTCTTTTCTTTCCCTTTTTATATTCCAGATAACCGAAAAGTCATGTTAGAAAGGTCCCGTTCCCGTCAGAACGGAACGATCACAGCGGTATGATTCACCCCATGCCAAAGAACTCCTATTTTGTTTACTTCACACGGAGAACATGAGGTAAACGGAGCGTCAAGAGGAACCGTGAGCAGAAATCCAACTTAAAACCTGAAGAATAAAATATTTTTTACAAACGTTCCTGTATAGAAGAGAGAGAAAAACAACTTTGTGTATATTACGAAGAAAAACTTCAAGAGCTAAAAGCAGTGTTATAAAACAGCTCTATTCCTTCTTTTTTCCCCTTTTTAGTATTGCCATCGTGAACGGGCAACCAAGAATGCAGATATGAATTAGGGAGTTATTTGCAGCTCTCACAAATGATGGGAATGATAATTTTTCGGTTTAAATTAACAGCATCAAAAGATCAGGTCAGCGATTCAGTTTTAATTCTTACTTTGACATAAAAGGAAAAAAAATCAGCATATTAATGAATTTAGATGAACTGATATAGCAGATAAGACACTGTCTTTTGCAAATACAAGGGAACAGTATGCTGTCAATTTTTCTCAATTCACATTGCAGGTTTTCAGTAGAATGAATTCAGCTCTTTTGAGTTTCAATCAAAACTTCATTACAACTCTTCAGCCTTAGTGGTAGAAAGATATTTATAGCTGCTTTAAGCAAGATCGTAGGGTTGAACCAAAGTTAGATTCATGATTTGCAAATTTAACTAAAGAAGGATTTTTAAATTGGGCACTTATATAAACTTTACATCTACAGTTTGAGGGGAAAAAATCTTAACAATGTTGAGATTTCCAGTTTACTTGTTTTATTTTTGTTTAATATTTTAGGGTTTAAATCTATCAATGAGTAAGGAATCAGAATTAGCTTCCTTTGGTTTACTTCAACAAATTTTACACAGTCTTTGGGCTAGCATAATCTTAATGAAGAAAGAGACTAGAAAAACACCTGAGCACTACTCACAAGCATATCACTCCCTTATGTATTTCAACTATTTTATCCTTTATGGCAATTCTCACCGATAAGTTTACAGAAGTAACTTTGATGGACTTTGGAGGTGGCAAAGGAAGGCTGATATTACCATTTTAAGTGTTATTTGAAACTCAGGCAAACCAGCAACAAAAACATCACACCACTACTAAGATTCCTAAATTGTCGTCTACCGTGTACATCACTTGTTTACATTAATGCATGAAGTTTCCATTTTAATTTTCTGAAGACTCATAGAACAGTGGTCTCCATCCTTGGCCACTTTAAGACCTGTGGACTTTAATTTCCAGAATTCTCCAGCCAGCAGAGCTGGCTGGGGAATTCTGGGAGTTGAAGTTCACAAGTCTTAAAGTGGCCAAGGTTGAAAACCTCTGCCATAGAACATCAATCACAAAAAAGTGTATTAGATACCTATCTTAATCAAAATAGAGCTGGAAGGGACCTGAGGTCTTCCAGTCCAGCCCCCTGCTCAAGCAGGATTCCTTCTACCATTTAGCAAGTACGTAGGTCTTCCTTGTAGAGAGATTCTAAATAAATTCTATTCTTAATTTTCCTATTAGAGAAAGAAAAAAAGTGACTTACACTATTGCCTACTCTTGTTCCAAAGAACACAGGGCAAGTTGAAGAACGGGATTTATCTTCTTATAGATGTTAACCACTTACAGTAGACAACTGACCTAAGATGTCCTTGTAAGCTTTCCAGCTAAACAAGGAGGTCAAGCTTCTCTGAGGAGGTTGCAATCTCTAAGTTCAAAACCTATACCTCCATAGGTACTTTATTATCCAGCAAATTTGGAGTTGTTTACAGATTCAGCTTTATATGGAACCAGTACCTTGAGGGCTTACTTATATCTAGCATAACGTTCAAAAACTCTTACTAATTTCACAGGGAACTGATACGATCTGTTGTTTTGTAGGAATAGAATGTCAACTAGGCAAAGAGTATCCTTGACATATTGCTACAGATGTTTCCAACAATCATTAATAGTTTTACTAAACGACGAAGCATTCGGAAATTATCTCCGTAAGAATTTATAAATAAGCATAAAGCAATTGTCAGTTTTATTTCTCTAGCATATAAGTTGAGGCTCAAAAATTTGTTTAAAGTCAAAATGATAACTCATGTGAACGGCCAAAGTGTTTTCTGGTGTATAGCATTTACACATGATACATTGAAACTCAAAGATGACATAAGTCATTTTCTAGTAGTTGAAAGCCAAAATCTTCATGCAAATATCAGAGCATCTTAAACATAACCTTAACATGTTACAGATTTTTTTTATGACCATTACTGATTATGGCTGTATTATTTTTCATTTTCTGACATTTTGCTGGTGAGTCAACCGGTAATTTGCAATGAGAGATTTTTAGAGAACAAAAATCTAAAAAGAAGCAAATGCAGAATATCATCTAAACATGTTCTGGTACTTTCTCAGTTTCCTCAGCCCACTCACTCTGTTGGAATATTTTTATGTAAATTAAAAACATGTACCTTAATAAAGCAAAGAGAAAATTATATATTGTAAATAGAGGATATTTGTATTTATAAAAATCCAAGAAGCATTTTCTGAGCTTCATGTTGGATTGTTGAATCTTTTGATACTTTTTATTCACTTTAAAAGTTTATGATTTTTTTTAAAAAAAGCAACAACAACAGCTACCATCTTGATTTTACAATTGTTGTGATTCCTGTTTTATCATATGTTTACTCAGTGACCTAGGAAAATGTAGTCTGAAGTCAAAACATCTTCCAAATCTGCCTTGCCTTATTTGCTAATTTTAAGAAGGAAAAAGGACCAGTGAATTCATTGCTTGCAGATACACAAGACACACACCTATAAATGCATGACATTTGCATGGATACACATATAACTCATCTATATTTGTGTGCAGGGAAAGACGCTTAAAAGGATAAACCAAGAAAAAAGCCAGAAATTTAATGGTGAGGCTTCAAAATATTCATAGCATATAGAGCTGTTTGTAAGTATTATTCTAAAACTCTCTTTAGGTGTATGAAAGAAAGCTGAATTCTGTGGTTTTATACTGTTGTGTAGACCTTATACCACACATACACACACAAACCTTTTCATTTTCTTAAAAATAAGTAAATCAACAGTAAGATTTAGTGCAGTACTAGTCGCTTTTCTAACAAAGTTGCCCGCAGGTGTTTAGGAGACTAAAAACATAGTTTGTGCTTGCAATCATCATACCCAGCATCTAAGCGATAGCACAAGTGTAGAAATAAAAATTTGCTAAAAGCTCTGCTAGACAGTGCTGACTGATGCTTTGTAATCAAACCACTATGAACAAAATTATAAATAAGTCACCTTAAACAGCTTCTAAATCTGTGTAATATATGTTGATGACTGTGACTGCAGTTTACCTATTACTGCTGACCACTATTTACCAACTCCCTCCCTCCCTCCCTCTCTCTCTCACACACACAGACATAGTCCTCTAATGTTGTATACCTATATACCCATATCCATACATACACACATACATATTGTATATAGATACTACCTCAGAATGCTGTTTTATTAAACGTGGACTCTTCTTTTCTTCTTCTCCTTCCCAATTAAAAACAAACTAACAAGCCACACTGGGTCAGAAAGTCTAAATCTAATATATGCTCCTAAACCTGAAAATCTGAATTTGAATGAGATCACTACAAATTGAGGAAAATGGTTTCGCTTTGTTTCTTCACCCATTAATATTTTTATTATAGAAATGAAGATAAAAGTAGACAACACATCTCCCCATGTTGTCCCTTTCCTGTTAGGACCCAAAGCAGAACCAAAAAGAAATCATGGCGTAATTCTGGAAAGCAACAGAATATAAAAATTCTATTAATAATAGGTAGAAATCCAGGTGAAATGTTCCTCATGAATTATTTTAGACAATGAAGTCCCCTCATGGATCTGTATTGTTTTAGCTCCTTTTTGATATTTTTGACATTACAAATTTAATTTGATACGAGTTGGTTCATTTGTTCCCTGTAAATGTGTTCAGAAGATATATCTATCAGGTAGCTAGATGTATAGAACTGGTTGGAATCCACCTGGTTTTTAATATATATATTAAATGGTTTTGCGGGTGTTTGTGTGTAGGTCTTTGGTTATTCGGGTTTTCTCCCGCGTCAAATTGGAAGTGTCTTGGCGATGTTTCGACAAAGTCTCATTCGTCATCTTCAGGCTGAGCCGAAGGCACCAGCCTGAAGATGACGAATGAGACTTTGTCGAAACGTCGCCAAGACACTTCCAATTTGACGTGGGAGAAAACTTGAATAACCAAAGACCTACATATATATATATTGTGTTAATAATCGCTAATGCTATTATAAACAGTAAAAGCCTCACAATAACACATTATATCAACATTTAAATAAGGCATGAGATACTTGCTATGTATATTCTTGTATACATATACATATAACTGTGTATACAAGCAGAGGTCTGGAATATTATTATTATTAATATGCTCTAATGCTTAAAAAATGTTTCATTTAACAACTTAGTAGTATGATACCACTGAAAAAATAACTACAAAGAAAATTTATTTGACACCAACTGTTTTCTGTGATCTGAGCTATGATTTCTCATTCAGTTGCTCTTTTTTCAAGCAATTCTTCCATATGCTTTTCAGAATGCATGACATTCTTCAAATCTTTACATTTGCTAGTAATAGCCTTTGCACTTTAAAAAGTTTGAAGAAAGAATTTTGGGGCTGGGGATATATGTGCTGATCATTTTTCCATGCATTTGGGGCAAACAGCTTTAAAAACTGTATTTGAATTTCAGTCTAGGGAAAATCAACTTCTAAGTCATCTATTTCAATATATATTAATCATAACATTCTCTTTTGGCTGGTATTAAATATTTTTGATAGGAAGAGTACATGATTAATGTGCACTAAAAAAGCCTAAAGTATTTCTATGTAATGCCAATATTCCTTATTTGCAAATGAAAACTTGTTCCAATTATTTTAGAGCTGGGTCAACCACTGATCTTCTAAACTTGTTTTAAAGAAATTGCTTTTGCTTTCAAATATATTGTATATATTTGATATTTTTAACACCATTAAAGATTTGGGGGTTTGGAGATAGAGGTGTTTTTGCTTGTTTTTGTTTTAAATTCTAAAGTATTAAATATATTTGTTTAGAATGGAGAATGCCTTCTGTAATAACTAATTTTTTTAAAAAAATTCTAAAATGATTCTATCCTTTTTCAACTGTCAGCTGCTGGTGATAACACGTTAAGAATATAACAATGCTCTTATTTGAACACATTAAACTCAGTCTGTTTTATTTCAGATTGCCTTGAGTTCCTGAGATTTTTGGGGTAACATAATAAATGTCGCCATTAGATTTAAGCGATCAGTGACACCAAAAGGAATGCTTTAGAATGAAGGTACCAATTTAGAACAAAACCTGGAGAAGTTTTCACAATCAGAACCATTCTAAGAGATCTTATCCTGGAAAAAAAAATGAGGATTGAGAAATAAAGAGTTCTTTGCCAATCAGATGATGATGATGATGATGATGATGACGATGATGATAATAATAATAATAATGACGATGACGACGATGATGATGATGATGTTGGAAGGGGCCTTAGAGGTCATTGAGTCCAAACCCCTGCTCAGGCAGGAAAACTTACACCATTTCAGACAAATGGCTGCCCAGTCTCTTCTTAAAAACTTCCAATGTTGGAGCATTCACTGCTTCTGGAGGCAGGTTGTTCCACTGGGTAATTGTTCTAACTGTCAGGAAGTTTCTCCTTAGTTCTAGGTTGCTTCTCTCTTTGGTTAGTTTCCATCTGTTGCTTCTTGTCCTGCCTTCAGGCGCTTTGGAGAATAAATAGCTGGACTCCCTCTTCTTTGTGGCAACCCCTGAGATATTGGAACACTGCTATCATGTCCCCCCTCGTCCTTCTCTTTGTTAAACTAGACAAATGTTGTTTGCCACTCACCAATATTAAGACAGCAGTATGTAAATCAGCAACTAGATTTCAGTTCTGTAAACTTCCCTGGGACTACTGCAAATGAAATCAAGAATAGCAAGTTTCTTTTCCAAAAACTGACAATTGCTGGATGTTCTAGATCGAGGGTTAACCTGAGGACGGAATCTGATGTTACACAAGAACCAGACATTCCCACTCCTTTCCTAGATCTTCTAGATGACTGTGTTTCTAATAGCATCTCAAACCATGTTAACTTAAATTTATTCTTCAATACTGCTATCCATATGGTGGCAATCACCATACCGTATCCCTATTCATGCTAGGCCCTAATGCCAAATACCTCCCATTCAGTCTCTTGGGAGAAAAAAGACAGAGAAGTGACTTCTTCCCCCTTCCGGATCTTGTTGGACACAACAATCAGAGGAGACAACGTAGGACCATGGTGACTCAGAAGGTTAGAATGCTGGTCTGACAATCACAAGCCCATGTTCAAGACCCACTGATGTCGGAGGGCTGGGTGAGCTCCCGTCATACACTGCAGCTCCTGCTGGCCCAGCAGGAGGCTGGACTAGAAGACCTCCAAGGTCCCTTCCAACTCTATTCTACAGTCTAATAACAGGAGGGGTATTGTACTCTGAAACTACCCAACATCATAGCGAACCAGCAATCTATAAAGACACTAAATCTGAAAAGGACAAACCCTGGATTAGAGTATCAACACAAAGTGTAACATTGATATAGGTCATTGCAAGATATGAATTCTCCAAGATCAAGGCCTTTATGATCTGTTGTTTTCATTCTCTGAACAGCTGTGAAATCTGACAGTATTTTGCCAGGAGACCTACAAGATAGTTTATGTGAAATCTTTCAGTTTGGCTGATGTGCCTGCAGTCATCTGCCCATATTTCATTTCCATGTAAAAGTGGAGATCAATTTTGTTGACAGTTGGCTAGGATGCTGGTGGAGGGCCCTTATGGCAAGCGATTTCAGAAGCTCGACTTTCCTTTTGTATTCTTTTGATCTCTCTCAAACGAAAGAGCTGTCACCGAAGATAGTACTGCCAAGGTTGATAAAATCCCAAGTAATGTTTTTCAGCTCTCAAGTGGCCCATGAGGAGAATCAAATGCATCTGCAATTGGTAAAACCCAACTAAAAGATGACAATGTTAGACTCTTAGGCTGCTGTGCTTTTGAACAAGTCATGAAATCAGTCTATGTTACTGTTTTCAGGCTTATTAGACAAGTTTGTTGATGAGCTAGCTGCCCCTTTGCTCCTGAAAGAATTGAGAATTGAGTTGTGGATTAGATGAGACAGTTTGTGAAGAAAGAAATATTTCAGAACTAGGGTAAAAATGAACGATCAATAGAGATATCAATAAACTCGGCACAGTTACATCTGATGATCAACTTCTTGTTTTGTTTCCTATTCACAAAATAATTGTTTCTTATTGCTGTGAAGTTTTGATGTAAAGTGCTAAAATCTGGGTCGATAGATGGTTAGATAGATTTAAATCAGATTAGATTAATTAGATATGTGAGAATAGAGAACTCACTGT